AACTGTTTCCTCTCTTCATCAATCTTTATTTGCACAAGAGAGGCGCTCTTTGCGGCCTCAAGTTGCGCATCATTACAGATCTGGACGAGCTCCTCTTGGTGCCTCTGAGCCGTCGCGAGATTATCTTTGGCCACACTGAGCAAGGTAGTTGCCTCGTTGGCCTTGGCACGTAGCACCTCGCGCTTCATTATTCCCTTCTTCGCCACCAACATCATCTACAAAGAAACATAGTGTAAAGGAGAATGATCAAGCGTGTGTTGTTTTTGTATAAACAAAGATGTTGATAAAAGGTACAAGGCAAAAAACTTACATGGGCATTTATCTTCCCCACCTCACCCCAAGGATCGGCGCCCACCAAGTCCTGGGGCGCCCAGAGTACGTCCCCCGCAGTCACAACCATGTTGAGGGCGGCGCCTTGTTCCAAAGCCGACCGGTCAGAGCAAGCTATACTCATCTTGTGCTTCGGAGGTTGAAGCCACTTCTCCAAGCCCTCTGGCACCTCGGCCTCGCCTGACAGGCGCAGGCGTTTACCCGAATCATGTTGGGCGCCCTCTGCCTTCCTTGTTTTCCTGACAGCCAAAGGCTCGTCATCTTCGGGATAATCAGACCCCGCGAGAAGGTCCACCACAGGCGCCTGTACATCTACAGGATCGGTGGCATGAGGCGCATCCTAGGTCTCTAGCAGATCGCCTAAAGGCTCCGGCGCCTGGGGGCTCGGCACTTTGTTCGGCTGAATCCTCTTTTGGGATTTCACCTTTCGGCTTGGGCGCCCCTGTCCTTTGCTAGGAGGGGGGGGGGGGGGGCGGCCACTTCCATCTCAGCCGGGGCAGTGCGTGTTTTGTTTGAGCTGGCACCCTTTGATGAGGTGGGTTTGATAACTCCACTGGATTTCTTGCCACCTTTCTTGGAGGTAGGCGCCTGCTTTGCCGCCAACCCGAGTTGCGCGAACCGCGACTTCATGAGGGTGCTGATGGAGGTGAAGTCGGCGCCTGCACAAACAAATATAGTTAGAGCTCGTCAATAATCAATGTACAAGGCAAAAAATAATATACATAACTACTTCATAAATAGGCGCCCACCATCACGATAGTATTCGTGCAACACAGGCGCCCGGGATGATGTGGGACGAAGATTAATCGGGTACAAGGAAATGAGCCTGGCGCCTTCAATCTCCTCGGCAGTGGATAGAGTCACATCAACATTGAACGCCTCGTGATTGCCCATCACCCAACCTCTGATGAATGAGACGCCACTTTCGTAGAAGGAATCCTTATGCGCCTTTATGAAGAAAAAGCTCCTAAACCACTCCCTCCCTAATTTGGGACATTCTATTAAGAAATGGCCGGGAAGACCCAGGCGCCTCTGTAGTGATAGGCAATTATCGGAGTAGACCATTTGAAAAAATAATGGAAAAGGTTGAAGGTAGGCTCGACGTTATGCTGACGACACTTAAACTTAAAAAGAATGTGTATAAGGAAAACAGAGGGTGACAGGCGCCCAATCGAACATCGGCAAGTGGTTAGTATGCCCTCTAGGATAGATTCGAGGGGAAATCGGAGTCCAAAGCGAAAATACTCTCGGTAGAGGCCAAGCCACCGAGGTCCGACTACTCCAACTCTGGCCATACTGGAGGCAGGCGCATAGGACCAGGATCGCGGAAGTTGTAGTGACACGACCAGATTTTCTAACTCCAATGATTTCACAGTCAAAATTTTCCGTGGCCCTGCTTCACGAAGCGACAAGTGGCATGTCTCATCAGGCGCCTGTCCCGACGGCCAGGTGTCCACCCCTCTCCGTAGTTTGATGGAATCACCCTCCTCGGCGCCCGAGTCGAAAGATTGTGGAGACATGGTCGATCCGGATGAGTGCGAAGATCCAGGCGCGACGCCTATAAGGTTCGACGCAAAGGGGGGTGAATCAATTCTAAGCCCTAAAAACTACAGGCGCCGGCCCTAAAATGAAAAAAAAAAACTTACTTGGCTTGGGATTCGAAGCCGCCGCATCACCGGAAGGGTTTACAGGAGGAATGGAAGTAGGCGCCACACCCTTGTCGGCGGTGTCGTTTGCAGATGTTGTCTGAGAGCTGAGCGGCGTAGCGGTCGAGAGGGCATCAGCCTTACCAGAAGCCTGAGATTTGGCGCGGGGAGTCCAGACGCCCTTCTCGCGGAGTGGATCAGGAGAGAAGTGTCCCTCCAATTCCTGTAAAACGTCGGGCTCCGATGGCTTCTCCTTCACCGGGTTGGTGGAGGGGGCGCCCGAGCCGGATTTGTTTGACATTTTGGATGATCAAGAAGAAGAAAGCAGGCGCACAGGGAGCTCGACGAAGAGAGAGAAAGTCAGAGAGAGTTAAAGAGAGAAGGGATTTGTGCGAATGAGGAGGGGAGGCGGCGGATTGAGGTATTTATATGAGGAGGAACCCAACGGGCAACTACGGGGATGCGCGCCCGACCCTCAGATCTAATCCTCACCGTCCGTTTGAATTTTGAATTTAAAAAAAAAATTGAAATTCAAATTTCAAGACGCACGGAGAGGGGGGCATATAGGGACGGGCACGCCATGGACTTTATAAAATAAGGAGCCTGGGCGCCTGGCCTGATGGTTTAGGCGCCTTCTTATGAATGCTCAATTGTGGATAGGAAAACAAAAGATGAGGGAGTCATAGTCGATGCAAGAGCAGGGGGACAAGGTTTGTTCACGAAAACACTCAAGAGAGCGCCTAGAGGTGACCTGAACAGTTAAGGCGACCAGGCGCCTGTCGAGCAGTCGAGGGCGCACGAATAGTCTGGCAGTCGATTAAACGCCATGGGCAGCGGAATTACATATAGTTAGACGCTCATCGCATACCATGAGCGCCTAGCTGGGGGACAATTGTTGGGTATGTGCATAGATGAGCCATTGGGGGACATGGGCCCATGGAGGCTGCTTAGGCCCAAGCCCGCTTCAGTGCAAGGAGATGGGGATGAAAGGTAGGAGTAAGACCCAGTTGAGGATCAACAGGCACATAACGACAAGAATGGGGCGGTGACCGTTCAAATCGGGGACCAGGAAGCTGAGGGCATGCACCTGGCTATGTGGTCCCTGCAGGCGCCAGGGGTTAGGTGCCCAGGAGTTGCCACGTGGAGCCGCTTGACCGTTGGGCCGTACCGAGCATTTAATTACGCGCTGACGTGGAGCTGAATTCTAGGGTCTGGTCGGGGCCTCGACGACTATAAATAGTACTCGGTAGGTAGCATTTAAGCAGGTTGGCTTCTCTCACTAAAATCTCTCTTAGCACTTATCTCTCTAGATTTGGCACTGATTTGAGAGTCGGAGTGCTAACGGGCATCCCAAAGCCCTTTAGGCGCTTGTCTCTGCAGGGTCTAGGCGCCCCGAAGAAGTTCATCAGTCGGAGGTTCGGAGAGGTGGGACCGGAAGGTACTTGTCACAAACAGATACAAATTAACAATAAAATAATTTTAGTTAAAAATATAAAAATAATTGACCTTACAAAATTTTTTGAATGCAAAATGATGAGTGTTCAACAATTCAAATAATATTAACATAATTTTTACGTTGTAAAATTCAAACGCATACCGACTTGCAAAACCTTTGGCCGCCCTCATAATAATAAAGGATGGTAAAAAGGTAAAAACAGATGCAGCAAGAAGACAAAAAGGGGGATTTTGGCTTTCACTGGAAGTTTGAATGGAGCACCTGTATGGAAATGGGTGAATAGTTTTGAAAGTAATAGAGTTTTAAGTTGGAAAAATTACCACATTGGTAGTTTTACTTGGTGAAATGTGTATAAAGATAGGAGCCTCTCTCTTAAGGGCATGCCCCTTGGGGTGACACACTTTTGTGGGAGAGGGAGGACCTAACAGACCACCACACACGCGTGCGCGCCGTCCGTCTGTCCGTCCGACCGGTCAGTCGGGTTGTTCACTTGAGACTATATATTTTTTGGAGAAATTCCGATCGAAATTATTTATTAGATAATTAATCATTGATCGGTTATTCGATGAAATATTCTAAGGATAATCGATTAAAAGAAATATTTCGAAGGATAATCCCGCCAGGAATTATCTTACAGACGGGTTCTAATTAAGAAAGTAATTATCTTTCTCAATTAATCCGACTTATTCCCCAAGCAAGAGGTTACATTCCTAGGGGTTCGGCTCCTATAAATAGCCGCATCCCCAGCCCCTCTTAACACACCACAATACGAGCATAAACACAATAGAGAAAGTGTTTAGAGAACTCGGGTTTTCGCACAAAACTGTGAGTATAGAGAGGAGCTGTTTTATCCTGGAGACGACCGGTTGATAGTCTGCCGTGCGCATCGAGGGCAGTGCCGCGAACGTCTTAAAGAGAGCGACCTAGTCCACGACTCAGCTCTAGATTCGGTAACCTCGTTCTTGTTGTTGTTCCGTTCCTAACAGCACCCGCAACTAATTAATGCCTTGATGAACAGTAACACGTGGATAAAATATCGTGCGGAATAGTAAACCTATTAAAAAAACTTGTGATTTAATTAATTAATCAATAATGAAAATTAATTAAATACAATTCATAGATGTGATTGTTCATTCCAAAACCAACAAATATCAATAAGTCGAGTAGTTAGAGAGAGAACTATGTATGTACCTTATACCACTTTTCTACATCGTCTTCTCAAATGAATGCAATTTTATGAGCTTTAAGTTTGCATAAACCAGACATACCATGTCCTTAAAATAATTGTTAATATTGAAGATTTTGAGTACTTTAACTATGGATCACATAAAACTAATTTGACCCTGCTGTAACTTTTGTAAAAGAAAAACACCTCTACAATCCGGGCCAATTCCATAGACATAACCAATATAAGCTTTTATTATGAACTTAACCGCCAATATCATAGATCTTGTCCCACTTTATCACCTAGTTGGCTAATTGCGAATTCAATGAACGATAAATGAACGAGCAAACCATAGCTAGTTAGGCCACAACATTTTTTCTTACATAAATGTCCTCCAAGTCTCTTAAAACTTTCCCTGGATCTGGTTCACAATGTTCTTGTCAACCTGGAACGCCTTTGCGAGAATGTCATTGGATATGTCAGGCTTGGAGCCAAAAACAGCATTGCCAATGGTAATAACTCCTGGATTTTGGCTATTCAAACCAGAAATTGTCACCGCATTCATGTGGCCAACATTCCGCTGGAAGTGAACTAGCCCAATTGGAAACACAAATACATCTCCCTTCCGAAGAGTTTTGGAGATGAGACGATTATCAGGATTTGATGTGACAAATCCAACTTCGAGAGATCCCTCGACGACTGTGATAATTTCGGTGGCTCTAGGATGATAATGAGGAACAACAACGCCCCATGGAGCATAATCGATACGGACCAACGAGATTCCCAAAGTGTTGAGCGCTGGAATTTGAGCCACTGTAACAGGGGTGATAGCTGAGCCAAAAGGGTTGCCTGTGTTGCCAGGGTTGTGGAGGCCGCTGAAGGAGAAGTCATTTGCCTGAACCCAAGTAGGGTTTTTGCAAGCGAATCCGTTCAGTTTCACTGCGATCAAGAGGCAATCAAACTCAACGATAAGATTTAAGTTTTTTTTTTTTTTATGGTGATGATATGAGAAGATGTATGTTAATTCACAAGAAACTGAGTACCATGTCTATGTATATATATGTGTGTGGTATTTATGGCAAGTAGTACACACCTTGGTTGTTACTATCTGCCACACAGAAGTCTTGAAGAGATGCTGGGTCAACGGCAAATGTGAGGCAACAGAAAGTGAGAGCCATCAATAGGCTCAGCAGAAAGGCTACTTGAATATTCGCCATCCCAAAGTCCCAACAGATGTAGAGTACTTGAGGAATGAAAGAACACTTCACACAAAGAAGCAAGAAAAAAATAGAGTAGGTAGATTTGATCGATGCCTAAGTATGCCGGTTGAAAGCCGTTTAAATAGAAGAACTAATCAGTACATGGGGTAGTGCTTACGGAATTAATTAGTACACAGTACTCGAGCCGGCAGTAATAATGCTATTGTGTTGGTACGTAGAAGTACAATAATTTTATAGTAATCTAATCAGCCGTCCTTCAGCGATTAGCTGAAAATTTGTAAGATTGTGATGAAGTGGTCGCATGTAGTAACAGTCCGTACGTAGTGATTATCCATTCGTTACAAGGTTCGGCTTTTAATACGAAAGGAAAAGGCCAAGAATTTTTTTTTGTCGACGAACTGAACTGGTCAACAGATTATTAGAGCCACTTCGTACCAAATAATGCAAGTGAGCAATGCAGTCAAAATCGCGCTTTAAAACTTAAAAACTTACGATTTTACGTTTTTGGGTCACCAAAACGCTTTCGTTTCCTTATACAAACTTAAGTGTATAAAATCGGATTAAATTGCGCTTTAAAGCTTAAAAACTTACGGGTTTACGGTTCTAGTTCACCAAAACGCTTTTCGTTTTTATGCTTTTAGTTCACTAAATGATTATTCTTTTCATGAAATTAATTATAAAAAATATATTTTTAAAGAAATCACTAACAATATGATACATTTGAGATTAAAAAATACATACTAGGTACTTGGATGCATTCTCAACTTCAATAGAGTAATCTAATTCACCAGCTAGGGTTTTCCCAAATTCATTAGCATAGAGGGAAAAGTGGCTTATCGTTAAAATTTATGTTTACGAACTTATTATTAAGATGCTATAAGTTGCTCTACTTTAAACATGAATCGCATGTATTTATTAACTTATCTAAATTCTGTGTATTCATATTTTGCATAGCATATGTCCTACATAATAGATTTTTAGTTATTTTTCAGTATGCGTAAAAAACTTACGCTTTTACGCTTTGATTCTACGCTTTACGATTTTACCCCTTTTCCGCTTCTAGGTAGAATCGCGCTTTTGACTGCATTGCATGTGAGAGGGGGCGGAGTCGGAATTTAAGTGTCGAAGGCCGGAGTTAGATGTATAATACTTAGAAATATTGATAAGTCATATGAGTGGAATAAACTCTAGTTAGTTTCTGTTTGTGTATGACATGTTATTTTGGTGGAATATTATATGTTATAACTCATATGTTAGATGAAATTTGATATAATTTATCAGAATAAGTACAATATAATGATTCTCACGGGAATGAACGCGTTCGTGAACAAAGTGGCAATCCATCTCGACGTGCTTCGTACGCTCGTGGAGCACCGGGTTGGCTGCAATGTGAAGAGCTGCATGATTATCACATTATAACACGGTGGGACCAGAAGGAGGAGCGCCGAGATCAGAGAGAAGCCACCACAACCAGATGATCTAACTTACATCACTGGCCATAGCTCGGTATTCTGCTTCTGCGGAAGAACGCGCAACGACAATCTGTTTCTTGGTTCGCCAGGAAATGGGAGAACCCCCAAGAGTGATAAAGAACCATGTCGTGGAACGGCGGGTGGTGGGACAACCACCCCAATCTGCATCACAAAAACCAGTCAACGTAAGAGGAGAGATGACAGACAGAAAAATGCCACGACCAGGAGACCCTTTCAGATACCGAAGGACTCTAACTGCGGCGTCTTCGTGTGCCTGAGTTGGGGACTACATTGCCTGGCTAAGAAGGTTGACAGCATAAACAATATCAGGGCGTGTTACCCTCAAATACAACAGTCGGCCAACCAGACGCCGATACGCTACAAGATCACGCGCTGGGGGAGAATGATCACCACCCAGGTGATGCTGCTGCTCGACATTGTGGAGCACGAACGAGCTGCGGTCAAACCAGCGTCGGTGAGAATGTCTAACACGTACTTCCTCTGATTAAGAACAATACCCTTAGGCGATCGCGCAAGCTCAATAGCAAGGAAATACTTGAGGGGACTCAGATCCTTGATAGTGAAACAATCGTGGAGAAAGGTCTTAACTTGCTGAATAAACTGGAGATCATTCCCAGTAAGAAACACATCATCGACGTAAATGAGGGCCACAACAAAGGTGGAGCTGCGCCAATAGACAAACAAGCCAGGATCAGCCCGACTCTGCACAAATTTGAGCTCGACTAATGCATGTGTAAACTTCCAATACCAATTCCGGGAAGCTTGTCGCTAACCATTGATGAATGTGCCATCCTCGGTGCAAAGCAATGGTGAGAAGGCAAGGGACAGTGACCAGCTTAGCAACTGGAGCATAGGTGTCGTGGTAATCAACCCCTTCGACTTGAGTGAAGCCCTTAGCAACGAGACGTGCCTTATAGCGCTCAATGGAGACATTCAGATTGAATTTGATTTTGCAGACCAATTTACAATAAATTGCTTTCTTGTCCAAGGGTAGAAAAACCATGGTCCATGTGCCATTGGCTTCTAAAGCAGAAATCTCGACCTGCATGGCATCTCGCCATTGCTTATAATGAACAGTCTGGAAAATATACTTGGGCTCATCGACGCCAGTAACTGCGGCAACGAAGGCATGGTGAGCTACTGAAAGACGATGATAACTGAGATAATCGTCCAGTGGATATAACGTCGTGGCGGAGTGAGCTGCGCCAGGCAGCTCGACATCATAACCAGCAAGGCTAGTGGAAGGGCGGCACTCTCGGTCGCCGCGACAGAGAGGAGGCTGCTCAGGTGAAGATGAGTCGATGAACGGCAAGGAAGAGAAAATAGACGACACACGATTTACGTGGTTTCCCCATTCGATGTGAACGGGACTACTCCACGGAGAGCTTGAGCCACTCGCGTTGAAAATCTTATTCTCCCTTCTATTCTTGTTCCCATCTCGGCTGTTGTCCTAGCCAAAATACTTAATGGTAAAAAACCTAACCCTAACTCTCCTAATCACATGCTACGTGGAGAGTGGGTAATTACAAAGTGACCCCCAAATTATTAAACAATAAATTAGAGATCATTAGAGCCTAAACTCTAAATGTAGCTTAGAATTATTTCTCGCATCTATATGTTGATTATTAGGTTGCATAGCGAGTTTGAATGAATATGCTTAGGTTTCCAGGTTGCAAGTTTTAAAAAGAAGGCATTTCCCCAGTTCGCGTGCAAAGTAACCAAATTACAAACGCGAATTTCCTAGTCGTTTTGCTGATCACGGGATACGACAAATATCACTAATGGGATCCTTGAACCCTTGGCTTAGCAGCCAGAAGCGCCAGAAGCACCATTGTTTCAAGATCACCAGCCACTTTGAAAAATCACGACAATAAACTTCCTTTTTTAGGAAGATAATTTTTTGGGAGTTTTTGACATCTATCAATAAGAGAGTGTTTTGTTGCTGAAGAAGAGCTTGGAAGTTAAGAATCCTTAGGGAGAGAGAGAAATGCTATCGAAGGGAGAAGATAAGACTAAGGAGGATTTCCCAGCAATTGGGCGTCTTCTATGAATGATTTTCTTCTATCTTTCTTTGGTTTTCCTTTCTCCTAACATGGGGTAGTCTCTTAAATACTTGGATCTCTGTCCCCAAAGTCCTCATTACAGTGGGTTTAGTATGTAGTTAAAGGTATATGTTAATTCATGTCATGATTTGAGTTCAGTTAGTGTTCTAATGCTTCAATCTATGGTTTGGATGCTTGATATGATATTTTGCATATGTTTGCCCTTGGGTTATTTATGTGAATGATGTTGTTTGCTTCCATGCTTGTGTAGAAGATCTACAGACAATGCTAGCTGACGAGGTGACCATCCCCTTTTAGTTAGGAGCTCCCCTAATCAATGCTAATAGGATGAGTGCATGATCATTGATTCATAAAACTATTGTGTGGATGTGTAAAACACATAGAGATGAGGTAGGATTAATCTCTAGTCGATGAAATTGGTTGTGGTGACATTGGGCATGTAGAAGCAATTAGGAGGGGGATTGAGAGACATGATCATTGAATCGATCACCACTTCAGTGACCTTCCCACCTCGGATATACATAGATTCGTATTGTTGTTTGATTGCATGCTTATCTGTTAGTTAGGATGAAGGAGGCAAGTCCGAGTGTACCTTTTCTCTTGATTGCTTTCTAGTACTCTTAGTTTCATGCATTCAATGCAGCCAAAAGCGCGTTTCTACCTAAAATCGGAAAATGGGTAAATTCATAAAGTGTAGAATCAAAGTGTAAAAGCGTAAGTTTTTGACGCATACTGTATAATAACTAAAAATATGTTAAGTACGACATCTACCATGTAAAATATGAGTGTACAAAATTTAAAAAAGTTAATAAATACCTACAATTCATGTCTAAAGTAGAGCAATTCCTAACATCTTAACAATAAGTTCAAAAACATAGATTTTAACAATAAGTTACATTCCCCTCTATATATGCGAATGATTTTGGGATGAGCCGAGATGGTGAATTAGATTACTCTATTAAAGTTAAAGTTGAGAATGCATTCAAGTAGCATTATGTATATTTAATCTCAAATGTATCATCAAATTAGATTACATTTAAAATAGACTTTTGACAATTAATTTCATCAAAAGAATACTCATTTAGTGAACTAAAAGTGTTAAACATTTTGATGAATTAGAAGTTTAAAAGCGCAAGCTTTTAAGCTGTAAAGCACAATTTAGTCCAATTTTATACACTAAAGATTTATATGGAAATGAAAGAGTTCTGGTCATCTAGAAGTGTAAAATCGTAAGCTTTTAAGGTTTAAAACGGAAGTTTGACCGCATTGCCTGCATTGTATGAATCCAGCTCTAATTTGGAGATTTGTTGTGGAAAGAGGGGCATGGTGGACTGGTGGAGTCATCTGATTTGGGTGAAATATGGAGAGGATGGATCTTTATGAAAAATGCAATGGAGGGGTAGTACGAAAGGATGGTTTCTCTGGTACAATATTGTCAAAG